TTATGACATGGAGATAATGAGATAGAATAAATAAAAACAAACACAATGACGTTATTATATAATCTTTAATTAAAAATCAGTTTCATTTTTTAGCCTTCATTATTTGATAAGATAAATATCGAAATGCAACATGTGATAATTGTCTTAAAGACGTATTTTATAAAATCTGAAAATTAAATAAAATAAATAAAACTTATTCCTATTTAATGTAGTGTAATAAAAGTAGAATGAAAAATTTAATGATATTTAGTACACTAGAAAAAATAGTTATGTATTTATTATATATATGTTTCTTCTTCTCCTTCTTCACCACTTCTCTTGTGAAGTTTCTCTAAATTTTTTCCTTTTTTTTTAATATTATATAATCTTATCTTTTTATTTATTTATATTTATTATAAATCTACGGTAGAAAATTGAAAATTTGAAACGCTAAATATGTATGTACATGTATATGAAAGCTTCATCGAGAAATTAACATCAGTCAATATTAACCAGAGACATTCTAAAAACGAAATATGTATAATATACATATTAACGTTGAATTGTTTATCTCTAAAATAAATAATTAGAACCGAATATGTTCTAAAGCTTGTGGCATTATCGATATAAATGCAAATACGTAGGAATATTTAAAAATTCTTAAATTAACTGCACCTAAAGCACTGGTTCTTAATCCGTTCATCGATACCTTTATCACAACTCCTAAGGGAATTGTGAAATTTTTCCTCAGAGATTATGGTACTTATCTTTAGTTCTTCACTTTTAGTATTTATTTCTTATCAGATAAAATGAAAAATAAAATTCAAAACACGCTCCGATTACGTTTAACTGAGAACTTTTCAGTATTCTATACCGAATATTTTTTGTATATATCTACATTACATTACAATTTGTATTTGTATCTCATTGTTAGCAAATCATTCTACCGTCGTGAATAAGGGAGAAAACTTTGACGAATATGTATTATATTGATTAGTTATTTTAATAATTTCGTGTCTGTTTATGCATGTATTTTTTCCAAATTACTTATGATTTAACATTTACAAAGATTAGGTAGTGTTTCAAAGTTGAAATTAAATCGTAATGGTTGGCGGTTTCCTAATTTTAACTAGTTCTAATTATATGTCGTGTAAAGATGTCACCATGAAAGGGTTCTGAAGAAATATATATTGCTTGATTCCGTACAAAAATTCCTATTGCCGAGTCTACGGCAACAACTTTCAACCTCTTTCATCTCACATGTTATAAATTAATTACTAAAATTTTGCAATACATCAAAAAATATATTATATGACATAAAAAATAGGTATAATTATGATTGATTTATAAACAAAAAGATAACAACAATAATAACAATAATAATAAAAATAATAATAATAATAATGACAACTATTATGATAATAATGATGATGATAATCATCTATCCTTTCTTGAGATCGATAGCCCGAACTAAATATTGTGAATTCAAAATTCTTACAATTTACTAATTAAAAATCACTTGTCCGATACTTTTATTATGCCTTTAGCGTTCCTTAAGTTATTGTTAAAAGGCATGAAGATGATATCCTATTTTACAATAAACAAAATTCGGTATGAAGTTTTCTTTGAATTTAATTATTTGGTCACTGTACTAATACAAAAAAATTTTTTAGTTATAGGATATTTGCTAGTGAAGGACACGAAGACTTCAATTATAATAAACTTTGTTAATATTCGTTCTTCTCAACATTTCTAGTATGTAATGGTTCTAAGCTAGAGCATACTTTTAAAGATAGTAATTTGTTCGACCATATTACAAATCAAATTATAATATTAATTTGATTAATAACATTTATGATCTAAATAATGTAATATATAGCATTTATTTAATCAATAATTTGAATATTAGTAGTAAATATTTAATATCAATATTTATCAACATTTTATAAAAATGTAAATCTATTTTTCAGGAAACGATGAATCAAAAAATTCTCAATTTTAAATTAATTAAATAATTTTTGCTCTTCCTTTATATTTATTAGTTCACATTACGTAATATTTTGTTGGCATTATTTTGTTCAGAAAATTTTTGTTGGATCTGTTTACGAAGAAAATCGGTCAGTCAAAGAAACCCAGCTTTCTTAGATCTGCTATCGTAAGTCAGCATAAATATAGTATTTAATACTTCATTGAGATATTAATTTTTATCAAATTCTATATAAAAAGTTAATAGATTATAAAATAAAAATTAAAAAATATATTTTCATTTTTAATTTAAAAAGTAATATCAATCACTAACATCAAACAAACATTTATAATCTTCCAATAATAAAAATAACGTACTGTGATAAGAAAGAAAGCACATTTTGCAATCTTCTCGAATGTAACAAAATAAATCATATCTATACAATTAACATACTTGGAGATAAATTACTAAGATATTGTTTATGATAATCATCTCAATCACTGCAACAGAAACAATCTTTTATAAAAATCATAAAAACGTATAAAAAATATGCTTCTAGATAAATAGAGTTAATAAAGAATGTGTTATCAAACTGTGAATACAATTAATTTCATATATTTAATTATAATCTACTACGTTAATATCAACAGCTAAATTTCATTTACATTTTATAAAAATAAATCGAGTAAATGTATTTAGTGAAGTAAAATTACATTTGATCAAATATTAATAAATATTACAACATTTACATTTGTCAATAGCAGAATAAAATCATAAATTAAATATATTTAATGATAATTTAACTACTTATTCATTGTCAGAATTTCGATACGAATTTTAAAATTTGTGTTAAAAATAATTTAATCGTGTATATGATTTAATAACATTTTATTTTATACTTCTGGAATAGAAGATTTAGATAGATAATAATTTCAAGATTTAGATAGATAAACAACATATTATCGAACTGTTAGTATAATCTGAATGTGATTTCACAATGGAAAGTAAACTAAAGATGTCCACAATAACCGTCTTCCATTTGAAATGTTATATTCGATTCAATCGATATCTTGATTGAGCTTCGTGACTAAGAAATGTCGCAACTAATGTCTTCTTGAGATGTTTGCTTTTCAAAGATTGTAGAAATTTCCTGTTGTTAAGAAATAATTATAAACTCAAGAGTTTTGATATTATATTTAATTTAATTGATTATAGATTAAATATTGAAAATCGATATTTTAAGTTGCCCATTATGTATATTCTTCCTCCATTTCTAATACATTTTAAAAATGATACACGATATGACAAATTATACAAAGTCAATTCACCAAAAATATAAAACTTAAAAGTGTAAAATAATTGAAAATTAAACATTTTTTTTCAGCTGAAACGATGTATATATAATTTTATTGTCGTATCCATTCAATCAGATAATAGTAAACAAACAATCAAACTGAAGTATTTAAAAATTATTTTTTATTAATTCAATAATTATTAAATTATTCTGAAATACCTTGTACATATTTTCAATTAAACACAATTCTATTATTTAGCTTAAACTGTCCCCAATGAATTAACTACCCATTACACATAATAATTAATTACCCGATTTAAAGTGACTCTATATATAAAAGTTAATTCATATTAAATGTATTGTAAAAAGCGTGGTTGACAAATTATTGCATCTTCATAGTTAATTATGTGCTTTTACAACTATGTTCAACTTTAACTATTTATCGATGTATCAGTGCCTGTAAAAGAAAAAGGATCGATAATTTGATTTCCAATTATATGTGTTGCATGATTGAATACCTAAAAATATTGGTATCATTTTTAAATATTTTTCAATCAGATGAAATATGAATATTTGGACTGACAATTGAAAATTAAATCATTGACCCGGATTCTTCATAAGCAGCGTTGTACCGATAATTCGTTAAAATTTTGTTTATTCCAACGAAAAATTTACAGAGTTATTAAAAGGATATTTTACTTGAAATTTAAAAGATTTCCTAGTTTGGCGAAAAAAAATTATTTTAGCTTTTGACAATTATGATATAGTACTTTTAAATAATTGATATCCTAATTAAATCTATCGTATTTAAATAGTAACCACATTTTACCTTTTAGGTTTACGTTTTTATTATTAACATTACATTTTGATGGTACTAGTTTTCTTGTAAATGGTCGTGTAAGGAACATATAAAGGTCCTTAATGAATTTTTTTGAAATGGAATCATATATTTCTTATTGCATCATATCTTGATATTCTTTACGAAAAAGTATTAACCTATTTATATTAAAAAATCATTAATTTAGGTGATATTTTAATTTTAACCCTATTTACTAAGAACAATAAAATTACAATATCACCTAAACTAATAATTTTTTAACATAAATCGAATATATTTATGTATATTTATAAAATAAATAAAATGAAATGCATTCACAAGTACGCGTGATATTTAATAAATAACGAAAATAAGACATCTGTTCCCATAGACGTTCCGTTCCAAGAATGTGCTGGAGTTGCTGGTATTTAGGGGCCGGAAAAGGTTAAAATTAAAATAACTGCTAAATATTTTTTAGATCGAAGTATAAATAAAATCATACACGCTAATTTGATAAATTTTAATTATCAATTTATTCGGAAACAAAATTTCAAAGAGAACTATGGTATTTTATATATTTAGTTTATTTTTATTACTTATAGAATCTCATCTGTATAAGAAAATTGTCCCATTAATTCATTATTTTCTAGAAACATTTTAAAAAATATCAATTTATATAGAAGATAACTTAAACCCTTAACTTAATTTCAACTTTAAAATTCAAACTATATTAAATTACATATGATACAGGACATAAAACTATTTACGTTTTAACTATTTCTTAACAACAGAAGTTCATTCTATAATCTTCGAAACAATGATTTAGAATCATCAATTGCAACATTTATCAGTACAAAAAACTCAAACAAGATAAAGAAAATTGAAAACGATTGGGAATATATCGGATTAAACGCAGTATTAATGTAAAGTATATACGAGAAACAACGAAAATGTGGTTCTGGCAATTAATTTTAAGTGTACTAGTTTTATCTACTGGTGGTATGATCCGAGACTCGAAAGGTAATATAAAATAATTAGTTTAAAATATTTAAAGAAATATTAAATAAAAATATAT